TTCTTGAGGCTTTCTCTTGTGTGCTTTCCCATGATTCTGGAAATGTTCTGCATTGACAAGGTGGAAAGACAACCCGGCTGTCTGCTTCTTAAGTCTGCTCTGGTAACTCAGAAAGGGTTACCAGTATCTATCAGACAGAGAAGTAGGCCTTTAAATCATAGAACCAGAAGACTAAAGGACCCTAAAGGGTTATCTAATGCCACCTTCCATCTCATACTTAAATATCCTAAAACATTTTGATAAATGCTTCTTATCCCATATGCCTGACACAGTCAGTGACTGTATTCTACCACCTCCTACTAGGGCCTATATCAACTGAGCAATATAACAATTAAAAAAAAAACCTCTAGGCATGAGCTTTTTTTGTTTGTTTTTGTTTTTTTGTTTGGTTTTTTTTTTTTTTGTGGAACCAGGGATTGAACTCAGGCCCTTGCACTTGCCAGGGAAGCGCTTATTCCACTGAGCCAGCTCTCCAGCCCCTGTAGGCAAGAGCTTTATGCCTTGCAGCAATGAATCTGAAAGATAGCAATTTCTTAGTTTTGTCCCCCACTTAAATTCTTATATCTATAGCTTCAAATATGAAGAAATTATATTCTCTTTCATATCTGCTTGGCTTTAATGTATAATATTTGTAACAAAAGTGAGCACAATCACCTTTTCCTGCAGTTTACCTAGCTCCTATCTATGTGCCAAATAAGAGCTATGTTTAACTTGTTACTAAAGTTTCCTTTTTTTTTTTGTTCAATGAAGACCTAGTTTTCTTGCACATTTTTCACGAGCATCAAATAGTGGGTGATCTTTCAAGCTTGAACAGCAACAGTTGTAGTGCTGAGGAAGGATTTCTTATTTCAAACTGCCTAGGTAATGATTCATAGCTATTTTAGGTAATTCTCAAAATCACAACTTCCTGAGTTTCTGTGCACAGAAAAATTTGCTGGCCAGCATCTTCCAGACCCTGGGGGTTCATCGCAGTCCTTGGCATGTGGGATCCAGGGAAGGCTCTGAGGTCCTTATTCCAGAAGGACTGACCTGTCCACCATTATCTTGTGGTACATGTGAATATTTGAAGAGGTTGACCCACATGTCTATGACCTCCCAAGACCCGGGATTAGCAAGGCAGAATAGATCTATGGCTTGGGTAAGTTATAGGTCAGCCTTGGAACAAACCTGGTCAACTGAACCTATAATGATGGTTCAGTTCCTCTAAATAAAACTAGTCCCACTTCCAAACATTGATAAATGCTTGCTAAAAAGAAGAAAGGATACAAAAGAGCAGTAAATAGTCATTCACAACCTTCTGAAATTCTGAATGTTATCAGAAAATACATGTGGGTGTGTTGGCTCTTGAAAGGCATAAGCTGAGGGAGTGAGTGGATGTGGAAGAGAAAGAAATGGGAAGAAAAAAGCTATAGCAGGCAAAGAAAGAAGGGAAGCAGAGAGGATTTTTCTTTAAGAAAGAAGGGAAGCAGAAAGGATTTTTCTTTAAGAAAGAAGGGAAGCAGAAAGGATTTTTCTTTAAGAAAGAAGGGAAGCAGAAAGGATTTTTCTTTAAAGTGAAGAATAGAAAATGAATTCCATATACCTTTCAACCACTTCCACACTCAAAAATCTCAGTGGATCTGCATTATTTACAGGGTCAGTTTCTGCCACCTTAATGTTTAGCGTGTTCATGACCTGGAGTGACCTTCCTCGCCCATGTTCCTTGAACATTCCTTTGGGGTTCTTATCTCTTTGTCTTTACTCCATGAAGAAAATCTTGTATTCACTTCAGGACTCCGGGCTACACCTAGTTTCAGGTTAGCACTTAATGACCTGTTCTCTGTCACATTTGCTTTTACTCCTTACCATTCTCCCTGATGCGTTCTTGGCCAGTCCACCACAGAATCCCTTAAACAAAAGTGGTGGAGGAAGCTTGGCATTCTACAAACTCTGACCCTCATTCTATCGAAGTACTTGTACATACTTTGTATATACCTTTTGCTTGTGTTTTTGTTTTTGACATGTGGGATTGAGACAATTAAAAAAATGCTATTCCTTCTATTCTCCATTCTGCCACTTCTATCAGCTAAGTGCGCCTTTATTTTACTAGACTCTTCAGCCTTGGGACATTTTTCCTGCAATCATTTTTTTCCAAAGCCTCCATTGTATTTGAAATCAGCCTCTAGTACCACAAGGAAAGTGATAAATCATCTGTTTTTAATGAGAGTTTTAAAGAAGTTTCCCATGTAGGAGTTATTTGGTATGGATTTCTATTTCTGTGAGACAAAATACTGAATAGAAAAATTTAATCAAAGCAGTAGGACTGAAGTGTTTCTACTTGATAGAGTTTATTTACAAAGAAACTTTGGGAAAATCAAATATCTAGGACTAGAACAAAAACATCTCACTCTTGTAGAGCAGATGAACATGAACTTCTATACCTCTCCGATCCATCTTTAGAGCCAACCTAGATGTATGAGTGGAGGTGTGTAATGCACTTCCTAATTCCACAGAATTCCTAGAGATGAACAGTTTATATCAGAGATAGTCTAAAAGAAGAACTCAAGAAGATAATTATAACTCAACACATACTTGGGCACTCCATGAAACTAATACATTAAAACTATACTATTAGTCAGCAAAGAAGTTTAACAAAGATTTTTGCAACACTAACCCACTCCAATGATCCAATCCCACCTCCTCTTTAAAATAAATCCATATCCTCTCTGATTCCTGAAAAATTAAAAAAGATTGCTCTTATTTTCATGAAGCATGAGACTATTCTATTACAATACACTGAAATGAAAGTCAGCAAGACGGCAGCCAAAACGTTACTGATAACATTTTCCAGTTTTATCATTCTTAGGCATCAGGTGGTCCACTCACAAACAGCCTCTAAACCCTGTGTATAATTTCTTCATTTGAACTTTATGTGAACATACACCCACAGCAGTCATAAACTTCACTTGAACAATGCATGTGCCATTCCCAGACTGCCCCTTCCCATGGAATGAGAGATGCACATACTTGGGAAGTATTCAAAGAAGTGGGATCTTGGCTGCCATGACAACTCCCTCAAGTGTTGTCCTGAGGCAAGCAGTAATTTATCAAGGTATTTCTGTAGAACTTTACTCTAAGGACTCGTTTTGATTTGGCCACTCTAAGTCCATGACATCTTTAGTAGCTCCTTTTTTTTGGCAAAATATTTTAGATGCATTGAAATAAACTTGGCTCACAGGCTCCCCCCACCTTGGTTCACTTGGTTTCCTCTCTCTGGGAAGCTTCTGCCTTTCTGCAAAGGCTGCTCACCGGTCAAAGGCCAGCTTGCATCCCTGGCCACCACCCACCAGCTACAGTGATCTCCACCTCTTGAGAATGCCAGCATCATCTTGTTTCTTAGGCATTTATTTATCTGGTCTCTTATTTTTCTTCCCCACATAAATCCGTTTTATCTAACTACACTATGTCCTTCTTAAACCCAGGTAATGCTCTGGATACCACTTATGGTCTACACAGACCAGCCCTCACAGACGCTCATTAAGTGTCTGTGGACTGGTTGTTATACCTTGTTACCTTTATGCTCATTTATGCTAATTGATTTATGCTAAATTGAGCCCCTGATTTCATTTATGCTAACGGATTTATGCTAATTTGGGCCCCTGATTTCCTTTATCAGAGCCCCAAAAGAAAAGCCTGTTGGCTCCACAGAGAGGAATCCCACTCTGAGCTGCTTTGAAAAGCTTTCATTTTTATTGGCATGACAGTAATGTCAGTAAATACATCTCGGTACTGGAATCCATGGTAATTCGCACTGCTAGGAGAACACATGGTCCAAGCTATTAGCTTTTATAAATTATCAGTGAAACAATACAAAACATTTAATACTCAGATCCCTAATAATTCTACTAGTATATTCCTCTTTGTAAACTAAGCCCTCAGGTATTCAGTTGTAGAATCAAAAGAAAATGCCCAGTTATTATGACAAAGTACCTACAAAGCCTAAACAGTACATATATTTTGACCCTTCGATTTTATCTCTAGAGAACACATACAAAGAAAACAAAATACATGGTATAAGAATATTCAGCATCAGACTAAAGCTCCTGCTTAGGCAGGGAGAGGCGGGGATTGGGTTCTATCCCCAAATGGCATGCCAGCCCCCGTCCCAGGAGCTCCTGAGAAGGTGACTGAGACTGGGTGTGGTGGTATCTACCTTCTGCCTCCAAGGTAGATACTTGTTTCCATTCCATCCTAATGCTTGCTTTTCATTTATGATACTTCACGTAGAGCTACACGCACACTTGTAATCCCGGTGATTTGGAGGCTGAAAACTGGAGGATCACTACAAATCCAATCTGTGTGGTGAGACCCTGTAGACTCTACTAAATACATTAAAAAAAAATTCATTCAAAGAAAATAACATTGAATATAACATATAAAAATATTTGTATGTTATTTAATAAAACAAGTGATTGATGAAATGAATAGTAATCATAAAAGACAGCCTTAAAAAGTGTATTATACAAGAATATTTAATGAGATGGAAAGAAAGTTTCAATACACTTTATGAGAAGTCTTAATTATAATTGTATTTTTAAAGTCCTAGAATTGTATACTCCAAATATAGAGACTAGATATTGCTCTTCAGTATTACAGCCTTCTAACTTCCCTATTGTGAAAGGTATTGTTTTTGTAAGAAGGATAAAAAATTTAAAAGCATTAAAATTTTACTTAAACGCTTAGCCTGTACCTAAGAAGCATCACGAGGGTCCTGCGTCCCATTGCCAAGAAAAATAGGACTTAGTCTCTTGAAGGCTTGGAAGGAGATCTCTAGTCTCGCGAAAAATAGGACTTAGTCTCTTGAAGGCTTGGAAGGAGATCTCTAGTCTCGCTAGCTAACATCTTCAGGAAAAGCAACGAAGGGCTGCAGCCAGGCCTGCGGACGCGGCCGCCGGCGGGGAGAAGGCGCCCGGCGGCGGGCGGCGCAGCGAGCGCTCACCGCTGCTCTCTGCGGCTTGCAGGTCCACGGGAAGTGCACGTGCCAGCACAACACCGCGGGCAGCCACTGCGAGCGCTGCGCACCGCTGTACAACGACCGGCCCTGGGAGGCGGCCGACGGCAGAACCGGGATGCCGAAGGAGTGCCGGAGTAAGTAACGAGCTCTCTGTGGGGTCCTTCCGTGTTGACTCCAGACACCCGAAAAAGTGGCAGGTGACAGACACGTAGAGCTACATGCACGCACGGCCCGAGGTACTTCAACCGTTGGATGGAAACAGCGCAGTGAGCAAGGCTGCCGATAGGAGCTGCCCAGACTGTGCTGCCTGTTTGCTTGGACGCTTTGCAGGCTCGAAGCACCCAACTTGGGCAGCTGACATAATGCGAGCATGAGCAGACCCGAGAGCAGTGGAGGATTACAGTGAACAGTTATGGAACTATATATAATCTTGAAAATAGCTATTTCGAGTTCAGTTCTCAAAGCAGCCCAATAAAGCAGGTGGTGTTAATCCCATTTTACAGATCAGGAAACTGAGGCCCAATGAGATTAAGTATCTTGCAAGAGTTAGTCAAGGAAAGAGTCAGGACTTGACACCAAGACTTCTGCCTCCAAGGTAGATACTTGTTTCCATTCCATCCTAATGCTTGCTTTTCACTTATGATACTTCAAATGCAGATCATATTTGAAATTAAAACAGGGCCGGCCAAATAGCTCAGCAGATTAAAGCGCCTGCAAGCAGGTGCAAGGGCCAGGAGTTCAATCCCTGGGCCTGCCATGTCAGCCCCACCCCCCAGGGTGTGCTGAGACAGCACTTGAGACTGGGTGTGGTGGCGCGCGCCTGTAATCCCAGATCTTGGGAGGCTGTAAACAGGCAAATCACTACGAGTCTGATCTAGTAGTGAGACTCTGAACACCCTGTAGACCCTTCCCTAAAATACAGAAAAAAAAGAAAAAAGAAAGAAAGAAAGAAAGAAAGAAAGAAAGAAAGAAATTAAAACAGTAAGTCAACAGTGAGATTGCTTTACCAGAACTAACTTTAGGTATGAGATGGAAGATTAGGTAGGAGAGGGAGACTATGGGAACATGAACAAATTTGATATTTGTAATTTTGTGTTCAGAGAATTGTCCCCGTCCATTAAAATGCTTAGACTCAAAAACCTCTGTTTTCCAAAGAGCTAAAGGCAAGTCTGGTGAGTAATGTTCTGAGAAGTCGCTTCCTGTGCCCAAGGAATCCTTATTGATTCCTTTTGTTTCTAGGAAATGTAAAAGATTTCCTCTAAGCATAAATCTTCACTATCTTATAATATGCTTCTTGGAGATAGGAATCAGATCAAAATATCACAGCACATCAAGGAAACAATGAAAAACAATAGCACAAACATTTTCAAACACAGTTGACTTTGACAAAAGAGTTGGGTTCTTATTTTAAACCACTCATCAAAAGACTTATAGAATTTCTCCTAAACTCCCTGAGTGCCACGCAGGTCCTTTCCACTGAAACCCACTGCATGTCTAAACACATAGAGACCCCAGAGATGCGTCCCTTGACGCCACGGGTTGAGGATCTCAGAAATGCCGTTGAGGCATTGGTACTGAAAACATGCAGAGGCCTCTTTCCGGAGCACTGAGGTGCGGAGAGCAGATTGCCTCATAGTCATGAGGAAGACAGCAGCTGAGCACAGTGTTTCAGAAGGACAAATCGAACTTCAGGCCCAGCCACTGTGCCCCGTCCACGGGGAGCCTCTTCCCGGCTCATGCATGAGCATGAATTCAGGCTTATATCCATAATATGAAATGTCATTTTCAGATGATGTCTGGCAGCTATGGCTTTTCTTACCAAAGGCAGGAG